CCACAAACAGATGGTATGGTGGAACGTTTCAACCGTACCCTCTCGGCTATGCTTTGTCACATGGTCAGTGAAAAGCAAACCGATTGGGACCTGCACATACCAGGCGTCTTAGCGGCATACCGCATGGTTCCACACACGTCCACGGGATACTCACCATTTTTTTTTATGTATGGCCGTGAAAATGTTCCACCCATCGATGTGCAACTGGGTAAGCCGAGTAAACAACCGTCCCGCTCCTTGCCTGACCACGTGCGCGTCTCGCTTGAACGAGTTACGGAGGCGCGAGAGGCTGCCCGTGTGCGACGGCCCGTGCCCAGGCAAGGAACGAATGGTATGCGCGTCGATCGCATACTCGCATGCCTTGGTCAGTGGGAGACCTGGCGTGGCTCCACTGCCCCCAGGTGCCGGCAGGCACGTCCCCCAAACTGCACAGGCCGTGGCGGGGGCCTGTGACGCTGGTAGATGTTCGGAACTCGCAAAGTATCCGCGTTCAGTACGGAAAACGTCGGTGGTATGTTCATTCCTCGCGACTTAAGCCCTATGTTGACGCGCGTGTCGGTCCTTCATCCCCACTAGCTGACCTGCCGGGTTCTGCCGAGCCGACTACGCCGATTGCCACACCCGTTGATCCCAAGGGGGACTGTGTTGTGCCGCCTACAGATGAACAGGTTCTGAGGGCTGAGGAAGCCCTCGCTGCCCCCCCTCCAACGGGGCCTGCCCTGGACGTGACCAAGCACCAACAACCTACTTCTTCTTCGAGTCTACTACCTCCTGTCCATCCGGAAGCAAAGCGACCATGCGCTGGGAGCGGAGGAGGTCCCGCGTCACATACGCGGTCGAAATCTCTTCCGTTCCGTTAACGTTTGATCTTTTGGCTATTTTCCCTGTCGTTACTGCGCTGCAGGGGCGCCCTAATGTATGTCGGGTTTTTCATGGGTGACTGTTTTTAAGTGTTGTTCGGCGCGGGGACGCCGTTTCACCCTCTACTGTTAAATGCACCTTGGTGCCCTAATAAGATGTTTTACGGAATTGGTTCATCACCCTTTTCCCAGCCGAGACGGCTGATTTTTTCACCGGGGGGGGGGGGGGGGGGGGGGTGATGTAATAACAGCTATAGAGGATTCACGTGGGGATTGGCTTGCCAGTCCTGCTTTGTAGCCAATAAGGGATGAGCCAGGGAGCATGGCCCCGGCGTGATCACGGCGTGTTAGCAGGGGTGATTGGCTTGGCCAATTGGGGCCTCAGCTAATGGGGAGCCGGATCAGGGGCGTGGTCCCGGGATTGACAGGGAACCATCTGGAACGGTTAACGCTGTCCATGGAGGATTGGCTGGGGAGTACCACGTGACGGAGGGATAAAAGGAGAGAGAGGACAGTCGTGAGCAGACTGGGAACCGAGCAGAGCGGGAGTCACGCGCGTACGGGGCTCCGGGTGCCACGTGCGCGGTGGGGACTTAGCGAGAAGTCTGCCCTCTCTCCGTTGTCAGCCAGCAACGGAGAGTGTGTCTAAAGTGTAACTGTGAAAAGTTGACAATAAAGGACTGATTCTGGAAGCCGTCTCAAGAAGGTTTATTACATTTTGATACTGGCAAGGGAAGTCCCGTGAGGTGTTAATATGTTCGAACACAAAATTGATGCCTGTTGCAAGGAATAAAGTCTACATTAACCACAAAACTTATTTGGTGTTTGAACACCTGAACACAACTCATGTTTTATTGCCAGAAAGGGTAAAACCTATCATTATTATCTTCTCAAAATTGATACCGGCAAAAAGGGTCCTATTTAGTTTTTTTTCACGCGCTGATGTTAATGTGATACAGCCGCACTACCCCTGGGGCGCCTGCCCCCCGCCCACATGAGTGGGTCACGGTGCCGGGTTCAGCAAAGAGCCTCGCCCGGTGGTTTGTAGCTTCACAAACTTGACCCTGAGCCCCAGCCACGTGACCGAGTTCAACACGGCAACTCCCACCGGTGTCTCACAGCTCGACAACTGGAACGCGACTTTGAAACAGGAACAAATTATTTTCATTAAGTAGTTTAAAGTGTTAAACTTCAAAGAAAAAGAGAAGCTGAAAGAAAGCTGAAAGACACAGCGCCGCGTGAGTGATTAAGGCGGGGTCGATACACCCGTTCGCTGCCGTTCGCACTCCTTTACAAGGACATAGTAAAAAATTAACCCGTTAAAACAAAGTTTTTCACTATAAATCCTTTATATGCGTGGCCGCTAGAGTCCTCTCGTCCTCTGGCTTGAGATGGCTGCCACCTATGGGTCAGATGATTGCATGCCACCATTAAGCAATTGGTAATAATGAAATATAATATTTTTGTCCTAGAAAGTGTAAAATTTTTGAATAAAATTTTCACGAAAATTAATTGTCACGCACAACGAGTCTGTGTGGAAAATGTCAGCTCGATTGGATCACGGGAAGTGGGTTAAACAAGTAAACCCGTAAAAACAAAGTTTTTCACTATAAATCCTTTATATGCGTGGCGGCTAGAGTCCTCTCGTCCTCTGGCTTGAGATGGCTGCCACCTATGGGTCAGATGATTGTCTGCCACCATTAAGCAATTGGTAATTAAATATTTAATTTGTTTTCCCTAAACAGTGTAAAATTTTGGAATTTTTTTTTCACGAACTTAATTGTCACACACAACGAGTCTGTGTGGAAAATGTCAGCTCGATTGGATCACGGGAAGTGGGTTAAAAAACGAGCGAAAGATTTCCACGGTCCTAAGCAAGTAAGCGAACTTAATATAAAGGATTTAAAAATATATTCGCCTGTGGAGGACGCGGGGACCGATCCTGCGACCTTTGGCATGGGAAGCGAGGGCGCTACCAACTGCGCTACTCCGCCACGGCCTGTGGAGGGGTTACGCTTTGGGCTCTTACACTGTGACGTTCAGCCAAAGCCATGAATGTGTTCTATTTGAATATATGTAAAATAAAAAAATTTTGCCTAAAAAGTGTAAAATTTTGGGAATTTTTTTCACGAACATTAATTGTCTCGCACAACGAATCTGTGTGGAAAATGTCAGCTCGATTGGATCACGGGAAGTGGGTTAAAAAACGACCAAACGATTTGCACGGTCATAAGCAAGCACGTAAGCAAGCACACAAGCAAGCAAGCAAGCACGCAAGCAAGCAAGCGAACTTAATATAAAGGATTTAAAAAACGACCGAAAGATTTGCACGGTCGTAAGCAAGCGCGGAAGTGAACTTAATATAAAGGATTTAAAAATAGCCTTAAAGGTGAGGCGTGCACCCAGGGTCCTGCCGCAGCCATCCCCTTTTTCGCGTAGCATAGTTACACAGCGGATTAGGGCTTAGCCATGGGGAGGGGCGCGCATATTCATACGGCTATTTTTAGCGCGAGCCTTTGTGTGCAACAAGCGCCAGCAGGGGCGCGCGCGTGCACGCAGCCACCTCCGCATTAGTGGTGGTGGTGTACGTGGGCGTGTGCGAGATAACCCCGGGCGGTGGTGAGCCAGCCGAGTAGCGATGTCCCTCAAAGAGGGCGTTGGCGCGGGGGGGATCGATCACTCGCATGGTGGGGGCCCGGCGAGAGGCGGCTGAAGAGGAGGAGGGGAGAGTGGAGGGGGTGGACGTCATGCCCCGCCCGCTCACGGGGAGCGGGAAGGTTGACGTCAGCCCCCACATTCCCCTGTCAGTTCAGTTGAGACGAGGTGAGGTGAGTTTATGAGGTGGGTTGAGATGAGATGAGTTGAGGTGAGGTGAGTTGACGTGAGTTGAGGTGAGTTGAGGTGAGTTTAGTTGAGGTGAGTTGAGATGAGTTTAGTTGAGGTGAGATGAGGTGAGTTGAGGTGAGTTTAGTTGAGGTGAGATGAGGTGAGTTGAGTTGAAGTGAGTTGAGGTGAGTTGAGGTGAGCTGAGGTGAGTTACGATGGGGTGAGGTGATTTGAGGTGAGTTGAGTTGAGGTGAGTTGAGGTGAGGTGAGATGAGGTAAGGGGCCGTCCATAAATGACGTCACGCACCTAGGGGGGGGGGGGGGGGGGGGTGTCAGACATTTGTGACGATGCGTGACGAGGGGGGGGTGGGTTGAGAAATGTGACGTCAACTTAAAATAAATGTAGAACTGTTATAACAACACTGATTTTGATAAATTTTCATTTTTAACTATTTGATTATTTACATTTACTAAGGTCACCTTTTATTTATTCCATGAAGGAGCATTTTGCTTCTCCATGGGAGAATGGAGAAGCATACATTTTGAACATTTTTTTAATGATTGTTAGTAACATTTTTATTCTAATCATTCTACCAGGGCTTTTCATTCTATGGAATGAATATATGACTGTTATAATTGTACTCTCCATTTTGCTTCGTTCTTCTACAAAGTTTCAAGTATTTTTTTTATAGTTATGATTACTTTTAATATTTTATATTTATAAGATAATTTCAATATAATATTCTGATCTGCAGTTTTAGTTATACGTTGAATATTTTCAAGTGAATTTTATGCTAAATTTAAGCTTTCCAACGCCTCTTTTTTAATACGTGTTTTCTCCTACAACATCAGAGTGCAGCGCCGCATTAAATACGCACTACAATGACAATAGTTTAAAGCGATTTGAAGAATGTTTTATTTTCAAAATGGAAAGATGGTTTTGGGGGTGGGGGGGCAGAGCTTTGTGACTTCATATTTAATGGAAGGTCTGACTTTTTGTGACGCCGTGACGTCATTTAAGGACGGCCCCTGAGTTGAGTTGCGATGAGGTGAGGTGAGTTACGATGGGGTGAGTTGAGTTGTGATGAGGTGAGTGAGGATACGTATTTGAGATGTGGTAATCCAAGTCGTCTATTTTAAGCCACCCCTGGAGCGGAGACGTCTGTACTCACTCACACGTCAACACATTCCAGGGCACGCCTCGTGATATGCAAATCAAACTGAAAGACTTCCTGCTTCATTGTCACCTATTTACGTGGCTTGTTCCATGTTTAGCTTCTCAGACGCAGCCAGCGACAGCCTGAGATACAGCCAGAGACTGCCTGAGCTACAACCAGCATCAATCTCTGAGCGGAGCCACACGGCCATGGCTAGTGCGATTCCCAGTGGTAGCGAGGCTCCAGGGGAGTTGACCTGCCCCATCTGCCTGGACGCCTTCCACTGCCCCTGCACGCTCAGCTGCGGCCACTCGTTCTGCCTCGAGTGCATGGAGGGCGCCTGGGATGCGGCAGAGTCCTTCTCCTGCCCACAGTGTCGAGTGACTTTCCCTCGGAGGCCCAAGCTGAACAAGAGCGTGACGCTCGCCAACCTGGTGGAGCAGCGTAGTACCGCAGATGAATTGGCCACCGTGGTCTTGTGTGACTTCTGCAACGATGGCACGACCGCTGCCTCGAAGACCTGCCTCAGGTGTGATATGTCCTACTGTGTGACTCATGTAAAACCTCATCAGGAGAACCGGAAGTTCAGGGACCACATTCTGGTGGATCCAGGCACGAATCCTGAAGAACGCAAATGCAAGAAACACAGAAAGAAGATCAAGTTTTACTGCCGACAGGACAAGAGCTTGGTCTGCACAACCTGCAACATCGCAGGAGACCACAAGGGTCACGATGTGGCTACGCTGGAGGATGAGCACAAGACACGGGAGGTGAGACGGTCTGCGTGTGTGAGCGGGAGCTTCTGCATGAAATCATCATTTCCCAGTACGAACTGAACAATAATATCCAGCTAAATATGATATAATTCCTCTCTCATCTTTAGATTGTTTCTTCAAATTTTATCAACCTTGATTTAACAAAAAGTATGCTGAGGTTGTCATAGTGCAGAAATAATACATATTATTATCAATCCTGTCATATAACAAATTTATAAATGTCCTCTTAGTACATTTTATAAAAAATGAAGGACTTTAATGCGTACAATGTTTTCTCCAAATTACGTGAGCGCATAGATTGTGGTTTGTATACAAAAAGTGCTTTGTGGTAGAGAGAACCATTAACTAAAACGGAAACGAAATGTAAAACGACTGGGACTGCGTGAGCTGCAGTGCTCACCGCTTGGTAGCCTCGTGCCGGTCTGTGCCAGTTTAGCGCCGCACTCTAAAGCAGCTACCGGGCCACTGGACTTGATTTTCCAGAAATGTCGCGTGATTTTGACAGACCAAGTATTTCGTGACCGTATTTACATTTTCATAAAGATTCTCTTCACCGAATTTCCCCGACACTCAACAGAGACATGGCAGTCCCTCCTTGTGCCATGTAAAACTATTTTTTATTTTACCAAGTGAAGCTCACAGAGCTACGTAGCTTTTTCAGAGGCAAACCTGGCCACAAATGACAGCTCAAAGAAGTGGCTTATGACGTCGAGTTTCATAGCAGCCAAATACTCTAAACGCACGTTTCTAAATGTAGAGGGAAAACCAGAGGACCTGGACAAAAATCCATGCGACCATGGGAAGAACAAACTCCAAATATACAGGTGTCAGGGTCGGGATCGAAACCACGACCTCTTGTATACGTGGCAAAGCAGATTAACGTCTCACGGCGCCTTTTCCACCCATTACTCAGAGCCCCACTCACTAATCAGAGCCCACTGCTCAGGTAGGCCTGCCCACGACTCAGGTAGCAGTGGAGAGTGATTTGGTCCACAGGCTTAGGCTCCTGCGCGTGCTAAGTGAGCCCAGCTATATGTATGCTGAACTTCTTTTGCACCAAACGTAGCCAACCGTGCTTATCGGAGGTGCGGGGCAATGACAACTAAACACAAAATTCTCCAGGAGGCGTTTGAGCTCCTCGTGAAATCGGTTTCCTGCAGCGCTCGCTCCCCCAGCCTCCATTGCTGCACAGGGGCCGCTGCAGCCTGGAGATGGAACCGTCACTGTGGAGGGGTCCGTGTGGAGCGGGGGTGAGAGGGGGCGCTCAGAGAGTGAGTGGAGTCTCCCCTGGTGACGTCTCTCACAGAAACAAGTGGGAGAGGAGACGCGGGCGGTGGAGGAGAAGAGGAGGGAGGCGGAGGAGTTCGTGAGGCGGATGGAGGCCGCTCGCAGGGACGTGCAGGTAACCGCGTCTGGGCCGGACCCTGTAACCTCGAAACTCCACCCTGTGTAGGGTTTGTGATGGAGGACAACTCCATTCATTCACGTGGACTTCCATAGGCTCTGAACACATCGTGGACCTAAAGACACAACGGTCAATGCGCATCAATACCCAGGACAAGCAAAGAAGTGGTTCTCATCTCCAATGAGGAACTAAATCACTCGTGGAAATTCCACATTCTTAGAATGGGTGCCTGATATCCCCATGTGAACTGCCACTTCATCTTCTGTTATATATGTATATTCTGGCCAGATGAGGTGGCACATACCTGTTATCCAGTACTTCTGTGGCAGGGTTCACATTATATATATGTTTACAATATGTATCGCATTGTGCTTTGAACCCAAGTCATCTGAGATCAACTCCCAGTGATAACTAACATCAGTAATATCTGTAAAGCCACAACCACGCAATACACTGAATGCACGCAGTGTGATTTATACAATGTGCATATTCACGTAACCTATTCACATAGTACCCTCCCATTCAGTATATTGAAATGTGCTATGTGATCATAAAAGTTCATTTGAGTTTAAAAAAAGTATCCGACAAAGCACAGAGACACTTAGAGGTAGGATCGCCAAGTTGCATGTCCTGTTCTCACAAGTGCACCGATCTATCACTGCTCAGTCACGAAACCCAGCTCTCGGGTCCAGTCCCAGCTGGGCTTGTTTTGTGGTAGGAATACAGCTTGGAAGCGTTGCTGATCAAACAGCTTCAATGACGACCTTTTGCTTTGTCACTCTGCTCGCATTACACACACCTTGCGCAACTCTACAAAAAGATGGGGTTCATATTAAATAATAATTAAAATTCCTTTTTTCCTCATATTTCTGATGTAATATTTGCGATTGAGTCCTGTGTAATTTGCATGGTTATGATAGGTGACAATTGAATTGTTCATTGGCTACCGAGGCCGTGATGCACAGGAGGGGTTCATCCTCCATCAGGTCACCGGGGTTGCAGGTCAAAACGTCTCCCATAGTGTGGGTTGCATGGCCACAGTGGCAAGAGTGTGGATTGACGTTAATGCATCTCTATGGGTCTCGATGAGTTTCTATGTATCTCTGAGTGTCTCCTTGGGTTTAGTATACAGTCCATAGTTTGGATTGTATGACCACAGTCACACTGCCCTATATGGGTCGATGTGCATCTCTATTTGTCTTCATGTGTCTGTGTTTTTCTATGGGTCTCTACATCTGAGTCTCTGTGTTTCTCTATGGATTACGAGGTAAATCTACGGGTCTCTACAGATGTACTTTATTGCCCAGAGTTTGCGTTGCGTGGCAACAGTCGCTTTCCATTCATGATTCAGGAAAGAGTTGTATAAACGCCATCTCCCTAAGACGTATATCAACCATTGCGAGATTAACTCCATCGTGAATTATTTAATAAACACAAATCACACGCCCTGTCAGGGATCGATGACCGGGGTGAGACAGCGAATCAATGGCGAGTTCGCCCGCATGAGAGCAGCTCTGGACGAGGACGAGAAGGCGGCTCTGGCTCGTGCAGCCATGAAGGAGCGCGAGCTGCTGACCCAGATCGAGAAGAACATCGCTCACTACCAGCGCGAGATTGGGGAGCTCCAGGCAGCAGCCACTCGTCTGGAGGGCCTAGCGCAGGAGAGGGACTCGCTCGCGTTCCTGCAGGTGAGCGATGAGTCTCCAGTGTCGCTATTTGCACAGAGCCATTGGCAGCGTCAGTGTTGAGGCTGCTGAATGAGGTTTTCACATCGACTGTGCTTTGTCACGCACGGCCTGAGCTTCCGCCCGGTCCTTGCGTGCCGTCGTCCCCAATTATGACGATGTTTGCAATGTAAGTCAGTGTTGGTGCTCATGAGGTCATGAGCCAAGACTTTGTGGTTTATATTCCACCTGCGCTGTTGCAGTGGGAACTCCACTGATCCCATGGGAATGGATGCAGAGTAACAGTAACGCATCTCTCTCTCTCCCACCCACAGGGGCACCTGGAGGAGACGCTCAGGTACAGACGACAATCACTCACGACTCGACACACGACAACATGGGACTGAGTGCGAGGCACGGGCAGTGAGAGACTGGCTGTGTGTGGGGATTCTGTGTGTGTGATGATCCTGATGGATGATTATCTTTGTAAGAAAGTGGCCGTGTCTGCTCTGGTTTCACAGGACAGAGAGGGTTACGTCTCAACCCTCAGCTCCCAGCCAAGAGGACATTGCCTCACTTAAAGTCCTGGAGGCAACTACTGTCAAGTTCATGTGTGAGTTATTTAGTGTGAATTATGGGTGATGGGGCCATCTTGACAACAGATGAACCCCGTGTGTGCACAAGGTCGACACACCCTCAAATTATTACCTGGTGTAGTGTAAACATCACCACTAGGGAGACAGGGGGCCAGGCATAGTACTGGCCACCCACCCCGTCGTGTGTCGTGCCAGCCTTCATAGATGCTAACGGACAGCACTTGTCCCAATAGTCTGCAAGGCTACACAAGGGATCTCTGTCGTTGTTCACATCCCATTCCAGGACCCTACTGAATAACACCATGATACTCAGTGTGGTGTTCTTGTGTAAATAATCAGCATGAGTCAGGGGTAATTGTGATGTTGAAATGCAGTCGGTCCCTGTGAATGTGTATGCATGGAAGAGCGGTAGCACACTGCACTACGAACCCAGTTACCTGGGTTTGATTACCTGCCAGGGCTAACATCAGTGGCAGGTGATATCTGATCCAGTCCTGGGCCTCTGCTAGGCAGATTAAACCTCAAATGAGTTCCTGATGCTGGTAATGGTCATAATGATGGGGATAGTGGTCGTGATGAGGATGGTGGTAATGATAGTGGTGCATCGGCCAGTCATCTCAGTTGTCCCCATGGCACCTGGTCTGCCCCATGACCTCCTGCCAGTGGGCGTTCTATACTTCGCATGGCCTCAACGTGCACATAGCCTGGCACAAGCGCCGTGGTGAAGTCACCGCTACTTTGTGACGAATGGCGCTTGTTGTTGTGGTAATGATACTGTTGGTGATAATGTGAGTGATGGGAATAGTAATGCCCCACCTCTTATTGGCACGCTCCAGTCTCAGCAGCATCGTCTCCAACTCCTCCTCTGAATGAGCAGCTATTACCATCAGACCACCAAAACTAAGCACCTGCATGGGTATTTTATACCACTCCACACCCACAACTCCCAATCGGTGATGGGGCAGTGTGGAGAGAGTGGAGAATTTCCCATACCTGGGCAGTTGTGCTTATGGACCGGCTCAAGGTTTAACAGCAAGGTCTCACTCTGAATCAGTCGAGCGGCAATATCTCTTCATCGGTTGCGTAATGCTTTGTGGAAGCTTCCTGGTCTGT